CACCAGAGATTATATACAGGCGTGTTAAAAATTGACTGGGTAATAACAATGTATAATATAACAAGCGCGTATTTAATCGGAGATCATTTAATGATAACATAATTATGATAAACTTACTGTGGAGCATTTTGGCATGGTATTGTGAATATAATGTACCTGATTTACATACGCTACCATGGGATATCTAGCTATATACCAAAAATAAACCCTCAAAACCTAATAATGTTCAAGAATACTAAGTTTTGTTCAAACTATCAAGAATTAGGGGATATGTTGAACTTTGCAGATATTGCCACAATACAACCGACCAAGTTACAAGTAATGATCATATTCCAATGCAGTGGGTCCTTGTGAGTTTTGATTGCGGTAATATGTTACTCTGGGAGTTTTTCATATGTGAATTATTGACAGAAACGTGCAATTGATTTGAGGCCGTCAAGCGGATTTCTGCCCTTCTTTCAACTAAAGTTAACATATTTTTCGTGACATTATATCAAAATTTGGACAAATAACCCACAAATGTTTATATTTTGCTATTACTCATATTAGTTGGCATCAGTATGGCAAATAATTGGCACTCTGTGTCCTTAAAAAAATATTTATTCTATTTTACCAAAATCACATATTTTTGGCAAGCGAAGAGAGGGGTATAATACTATTTCGGGTGATAACACAGAGATGGCCGAGAGTTATACACTGCTATCACATTTTTTCCATATCTAGGGATATATATCTTGCTAAAAATCACAATGAGCCTTACTCCATCTGTATGGTACCAACCGGTCAATTTGGGGGGGTCTGGCTCATAGCCTATTATTTATATTTTTTCTGTGGGTTATCTCTTGGTTATATCTATGAAAACAGTGTGCACCAAGGGTACGCTAAGTTATGCTCATAGGCTCTATGTCCCCCAGGGTACTATCGGAGGGTACCCTGGGTACGGTTCGATATATCGGAACGTACCCTGGTAACTATCTGATAGGGTTAGGGAGTAGGCGTAGGCGGCTTCCTAGACTCGTTAGTGGAGTAGGCGAGGTACGGTCCGGCATATTAGATAGTACCAGGGTACTTTCCGATATATCGAACCGTACCCAAGGTACCCTCCGATAGTACCCTGGGGGACATATCCAACAGCCTAAGTTACATGATTGAAGGTTTTTAATCTAATCGGTCTTAAATTGTGAAATTTCTACTGCAAATCTAATCTATTCAGTCTTTTATTTAAAGAATTTGGTTAGATTTGTTTTGAAGTTAAGGATATCTTGTCAACTCAGACAACTCAATTTTGACATTGCTAGGTGTAGAGTGTATGTATATAAATTCGATAATGATACTGTAATAACTTGTAAGCGGTAACCTACTATTATTTATAGTTATAGGATATTCGTATTTCAGAGAAATTACAATAGTAAACCATGCTTATTAAATTTGCCAAATGTGTAATTTAGTAGAGTTTGACATCATTTTAATGTCTTGTGTTTATGATGCAGTCTTATCTTGGAAACGTTGCTGCTCATGCTGGAAAAGTGCTGAAATCTGCGAACCCAGACGAGTTAAAAACCGCATATTCCTTGGTTGGACGCCTAATCAAAAACTGCTCGCTGCTGCTTTACTCAAAGGTAGAGGAGATTCATCCATGTCGACGAAGAATAAAACTATTATAGCCTCGTCTACACGCCGTTTCCTTAACCGGTTTAAGAATAGTAGCTTAACCCGAGATAAGAATTGCGTAGCGTCTACACGAGCACCACCCGCTCCACGCTTGAGCGGTTCTGGCACGCGAGACGTTCCTATTGTTCTCTTGTCTATAGTGGACTATTGTTCACTATTGCCGCCTATCGCAGGGGCAACTATGCTCTTAACCCGGGTTAAGACGTATCCCGGGTTAGGCCCTCGTGTAGACGCTTAACCCGGGTTAAAAATACTCGTGTAGACGGGGCTTATATATATAAAAAAAATTGTCTCTAATTAAACATTACTTCTTACTACATTAGCATTTTCGTGCTGTTCGTCATTTTACAGACTAGGCCAGACTGTATACTAGTGGAAGTCATAGAAACCATGCTATTTCCACGGTCGTTGACTTCAAGCAAGCAGGGACTTCATCCTGCAGTGCAGCACGCCATACGTGAGCACTTGATTCTGGTGCGTATGCGTCCTGTGTGAGGTCCGTTATTATATTTGTTTCAATATCGACCTATTGTAAAAACCTTCTCAGAAATGTTATTTACTATTGTTTATCAGTAGAGTAGTATAGAGAGTTAGTTGCAGGCATTTACAATATTAACTTACTTATTGTTTCATTTACAGTTTGTGCATGGACTCAAACAGTTAGATCAGAGGGACCCATATGTCAGCAGGAGGCTTGCTGATATAAAATATCACTGGAAATTTCAACTGTAGACCAGATGACGTGTTTTATTGTGTATAACCACTTGGTATAACGTATTGGCCTCATTGTAAATTTTTAAAGCCGCACTATGCGCATCCAAACGCTAATTTCTCCAGTACTAGACTAGCAAATACTTCGTGTCATGCATAATCACACTACCTTATGACAAAATAAACTCTAGTTCCTCCCATTTCACTGCGCGTTGTATTATAAAAGGCATTTGAAAATACCTCCAATGTTGTTCAAATTCTCCGATGTTGTTGACATTTTCGCGTTGCCCTGCCAAGCAACCGCACAGCGGTGCTGCGGTACAGCGGTACGGGTGTAGCAAAGATAAAAACATGTGACGTCACCGAACTGCTTCGAGGCTAAATTGTTTGGCAAACAAGTCGGCGTTAGCGCCAGAATGCCAGTTTTCTCACCTCTTTCTTGTGGGTTTTAAGCAAACGCGCAGTGAAATGGAGGAACTAGAGTTTATTTTGTCATAAGGTAGTGTGATTATGCAATATTATATATACGATATTTATATCTACAGCAAATGTTATTAAATTTCCTAATGCTTTTCTCTGTTTTAACAGAAAAGAAATAACAAGACTTGAGATGGCAGCATTGACGACACCAGACGTTATGCAAACAAGGAGCAAAATTGTACAACATCTATGCTCTGTTAAAGTCATGATTCTGAGGTAAAAATGTGACAAAAGCAAGAGCCTGGTTTTAAATTAATTAAATAAACATGTGTAAGTGTGTACAATATTCTATTTACATCAATAAAATTTACAGAAATTTCTGTAAAAAATGAACATGGCGTAATAATGGTATTAACGTTCTGCTTAACTAGGTTACAGGGCTGAAAATGGGATATATCTGTGGGATTACATGTTATTCGTGTGTAAAAATATGCATCATAATCTCATTTCATAGTACGTAAATCACACGTCAGTTGTGGCTATTTCATCATTCCTGCAGTTTCTCAGAACTTTTGACAGCAGATGATGTGTTGGGAATAACTGGCCAGCTGAAGGCAACTTGGCTGCATCTTGGGCTACTGTGTGACACGTGTCATGGAATTCGACCCGTAGCTAGCAATCCAGGAAGCAACGTAAAGTATATTCGGGGTTACAGTCACGTATTGTCTATTTAGTAATACAATCTGCTTCCGGCTTATGAGAATAAGTTGTTCTTGAAAATCTTGTAAGGTGAATGCTCGTAAAGCGAACACATAGTTACAACTCATTTATGTAACACAAATTTTAAGCATTTCTGGGACCAAAATTAATAACTAGCTTTCTTAAAATATCATGTATAATATAATAATGTATAAAGTAATCATATGCAATAGTGGAGCTTTATTGCAAGTGGTTCAGAAAGGTTTTATTGGTTCAGTGTATTCATCTAATTAAGTTTCCTAATTTATAAAACGTGATATCTTTGTAACAAGTTGTGATTGGCAGGTTGACTTTCAAACTATTCCATATCATCTATCTCTCTCGATCTCACTCTCTCTCTCTCTCTTTCTCTTTCTCTTTCTCTCTCTCTCTCTCTCTCTCTTTCTCCCCCCTCTCTCTCTCTCTCTATGTCTATCTCTCTTTCTCACTCTCTTTCAATCTCTCTCTCACTCTCTCTTTCACTCTCTCTCAATCTCTCTCGCACTCTCTCTCTTTCTCTCTCTCTATATATATTGATATATATATATATATTCTTCTCTCATTGCAGTGTGGTGATGCCATGTTTCATACATGGCACATGCATATAGAAGTAAAGGTGGCACATGATTGACATCGCTCATCTACTGCACTCAAAATGCAGGGGTAAGCTACTCTGTGTTCTTCCTAACTATATCGGGAGAAGTACTCGTGCCTTCTGTAAGGAATTGATAAAATACTCGTAAAACCCATAACGGAAATTAAATAATTCGTTGATCTACTATTTCGTGGGGATAACTATTAGATGAGTGTGGATTGTTCTATTGATTTATTTATTAAACCCTTTTAAAACCAAATTCAGTGTATGTACCATGTAATTGTATGGAGCGGCTGTGTTCTGAGGTGCCAGAATAGCAAAACAGAAGTCCAGTTCACAAGGCAGCAGTTTCTTCTTCTTCGATGCCTCTTCAGTTTGAACTGTGGCACCTAATTTGTTTAGCCACACAAGGCAGTTTAGAAGACCGTTTTTTGTTTGACTTCGCTATTATTTATTTTTTTGAAACATGCTTATGTGTTATAAAATTGCTAAAAAGTGTAGACCTTATGTGCTGACTTTAAAATAATATACCTTATAGCCCATTACTACAATTTGTTATGTTTACGCGTAGTGTGTGC